ACGCTCGAGAGATTATTCGTTGAGGAACGTTCGTCTCTTGAGAACGCATGCGGTTCGCAATTTCGTGATTCGATGAGCAACACCGAACGTGTCTCCCGCGTTGCTCCATAATAATTTCTCTCTCTCTCTCTCTCTCTCTCTCTCTCTCTCTCTCTCTGTTGCGGAGATCGCGCGGTTCGTGAACGATGGACGTGACAACGCGATAGGTTTGACGGCGATTCGATCCCCGGAGTGCGAATCTTCTCGACATCATGACGCGTCTACGGGGCCGTGCGTCGCTAATGGTTGTCGCGACGATCAGTTTCATCCTGCTGGTTGTCATATACCACATACTGAGTAACGAGATCGACGAGATGTCATCAGGCAAAATCGGCACGCGTCTGAGAGCCGAGGATGTGTATCCACCAGGTGAACTCATGGACAGCCCTCAGGGCGCTGCCAGAAGGCAGCTAGTAGATGGACAGACGACGGGTGATTTGAAGAACGGTAGGAACAGACTGGTTAACGAATTAACTCACTATGATAAATCGTTTGCAGACGGAACTCCACTGTTCAAGGGTCATAAGATCGTCCACCTAGATCTGAAAGGTGCTCCGCCTAAGATGAGCTATTATAACTACCTATTTCCTCTGCTGCGAAAGCTAGGAGCTACTGGCGTGCTTGTGGAGTACGAAGACATGTTTCCCTTTGCTGACAACATCGAAGACATACATGCTGGCAACTCTTATTCTAAGAAGGATATTGAGCAGCTTCAAAATATAGCCAGGAACAATCAGTTAATCATCATTCCATTGATACAGACTTTCGGTCACATGGAGTTTGTTCTTAAATTGGACAAGTATAAAGATTTCAGAGAAGTTCCACGTTATCCGCAAGTCTTATGTCCTACGTATAATAAAACACTATCCTTGATCTATGAAATGATAAACCAAGTCGTATCAGCTCATCCAACGTCAAAATATTTGCACATAGGTGCGGACGAAGTTTATCAGATAGGAGAATGCTCAAGATGTTTAAACGTCATAACCAAAAGGCAATGGAGCAAACGACAGTTGTTCCTGGACCATGTCTCTGCAGTAGTTAAGTACATCAAAGAGAGATACCCAGAACTGACTGTACTTATGTGGGATGATGAATTCCGTGATATATCGCCACAAGAAATCATTGACAGGGGCCTCCACTCGATGATAGAACCAGTTATTTGGAAATACACCACCGATCCTGGCATGACGCTAACGGATCAGCTGTGGGAAAGTTACGCCGCCGTGTGGAAGGAAGTCTGGGTTGCATCAGCATTCAAAGGAGCTACTTCACCTGATAGATATTATACAGACATTTCATATCACATGGAGAATCATCAACGTTGGTTAGAAATCATTCAGAAATACTCAAATCAAATCACTTTCAAGGGTGTCATATTGACTGGATGGCAGAGATACGATCACTTCAGTGTTCTTTGCGAATTACTGCCAGTGGGATTACCATCTCTCGCCATTAATTTAGCTATATTACAAGCCTCAGATGTAAACGTCTTTCCTGTAGAATTACCCGATCGTTTATCTGAAGCTTTACAATGCGATGGTATCATCTCGTTAAGCATACCAGAACCACAGTACGGCTGGACCAAATGCAGTTTCCACGGAGTATCGGTATACGCAGTTATTTTACGTCTTTACTCTCTGACACAGGAAATAATGAAGATGGAACAGGATAATACCTATAAGGGATGGTTAAAATCATACAACATTAAATATTCTTTCGCGAGTCCTAGTTACGTCGAACGTGCGGTTACTGATTTGGACAGACATAAAATGGAAATAATATATATCGAAAAAGAGATGCGTACAGCTATGGAAGATATTTATGACGATTATACAATACAAGAGTGGCTTGAGACATATGTCACACCTGTAAACGAAAAGCTCAATCGGTTATGGGAAATTAAGGAGAAACTTGTAGAAAAAAATACATGGCCAAAGAGACCTCTCACAAAATCTGATTTATAGTATAAAACGTCAGTTTCTTGGAATAAATAAGCGAAAATATTCATGTTCTTTGTGGTATAATATATAAGAGACTGAAATTTTTATTAAAATAATACAAGAAAAAGAACGCGAATTTTTTCGCAAATTGCGAAAATTTTTTAGCAATTATTTTTTAAAAACGGCGTGGATAATCAGTGAAATGTAAAAATTTTGAACTCGTAATTTTACATCTTGAGCAATTGCTGTACAGAATATGTGATAATATGTAATTTGATAAGGAAGTAATCAAATCAGAATTGCACCGTCCTATAAATTAGTAAATTTCGTTTCTCAATGGAAATAATTGCATTATTTATAATAGAAATAATAATACACTCAGAAAAAAGTTTTGTTGATATGTGATCAACAAAAAACTTTTCGTTGTCTTAACCAAAATTTGGTTATGCTAATCAAATTTTTGTTAGGATAACATAAAAGTTATTATTAGTCATATATTTTAACAAAAACTTTTATGTTATCCTAACAAAAATTTGATTAGCATAACCAAATTTTGGTTAAGACAACGAAAAGTTTTTTGTTGATCACATATCAACAAAACTTTTTTCTGAGTGTAGATATTTCTTACTTATGTCGCAAGTTTAGAAGAACCATTTTTATTGATTATTCTCTCTCTCTCTCTCTCTCTCTCTCTCTCTTCCAAAAAATATTCTAAAAAGCAAATCTTAAATAAACTAGTAATATTCTGGATGATTTACAGAGATAGACGGTGTATAAAGATTGAAATCTATTGAGATATATATGTAATATACAGGGTGTCTCAGAAATAAGTCTGATACCATTTTGAGATATTCGCTGTAGTTTTCGAATTAAAAAAGGAAATGTCTAAGCCAATGTGCGGTCCGCGCGAATTCGTAGAACGGCCCACACTCGACAGCGGCGGCGGTGTACAGTGAGGTCGAATGAACTTTCGTGTTTCAAAAAGGCTACAGTCTCGAAATTTGAATCGATTTCAATGAATTTTTTTTAAAATGAGAACTAACGAATATCTCAAAATGGTATCAGACTTTTTTGTTCCTCTTGACCCATTCTACTCCCCCAATGCGGCTCCGACCTTATTTCTGAGACACCCTGTATATGTGCATATACATATATATATTAAACAAAGCAAGATAATTTTGCAACGTTAGAATAAATAATTTATTGTCATTTTATTAAGAATGCTAGATCTCAAATTGTTTTTTAGAGATTTTAAAAATTATGTATTGAATGTATATTATATACTATATACACATAACATATTGTATATATATATTCTGTATATGTGTGTATATATATATATATATATATACACACATATTTATATTTTGTGTGTGTGTGCGCATGCTTGCGCGTGTGTATATGTATATACATACATGTGCGCTCTTATAACATATATGGATTATGCCATAGTGGAATTAGATCATTTAATTCCACCATGGATTATACAAACTTAGTTTTTTCCCAATCATGTACGCACAGAATGCCCTTTATTTGTCTTCTGATTATAAATTAATTATCTACTAACAACAGATAGAATTCGGTTAGACACACTACTAATACACTGGTGCATATTAAAGCCGCTGAACACACTGATTTAATTTAAATGTAAAATAAAGTGTAAAATATAAAATGTAAATTATAAAAGAACAAAAATTTATCTAACAATTAATTAAGAATTGTATATTATTCATTGTAAACACAATAAAGAATTTAGAAATAAAATAATTCAGTATTAAGAATGTCGCGGTTTAATATTTATCCGTTTCTATATTTATATTAAACACATATATTAATCTTTACGTCAATTTGTGTATGACGGATTTAATGTGCATCAATGCGCACTAGCAAAATATGCAACTAAAATCGTTAAGAGTCACATTTTACTGGAATGTTTAACAAAAAGACGTTGATATCTTAAATTATGTAATATATGTATTGATTTATGCATATTGACGCAGCATCTGTGGTTTTAGTAAGAACAGAAATTTGTGCCATATAGACAGATGGCTGCAATATGGTATGCCTCAATTAGATAAACTTTTTAAAGATAAAAGATTATTGTACATGTGATTGAAGGCTTTTTATAAAAAATGACAAATGAGAAGTTTTCAATTAAAAAATATCTACATATACATTATATGACACTATAGAAAACTATAAATGCTATACTAGTAAGCATCATTTGTAATTATAAAAAAGATAATACGAAGTACCTTAGAAATCATTCTTTTGATATTAAAAAAAAAAAGAAATATTCTTTTATTTAGAAAAGAGAGGACACAAAATTTCTTTATCTGAAATTTTTATTATTGTTATATCGAATTTTTTATATTGAATCTTTGTTACGCTGCGTCTGACAGCTGTTCGATGAATGAAGTTTGTAACATAATTTAAGAAGTCTTCCTAGTAGTTTTGAATTCTTTTGTGAGTTCCCATATAATACACTTTATCCCAGAGATGTTTCAACAAACGTTCTTAGAACGTTAGGACATTCTCAGAATGTTCTTCAGAACGTCCCTTGGACATCTGTGTTATATGGGTTATTACTATTTATAAATATATATATATATAGTCGTTATATAAATAATATATTGCGCGTGTAACTATTATTACAACTAATGAGATGTGATTAATAAAATCTGTTTTCAATCTATAGTAGATAAATTCTGTGATGATGTTTATCTGTTGGCCCCACTATATAAATATTCATTCATTTATTCGATGGCGGAACATCCCAAAGTCGGGATAGGGCCTCCCTACTGAAAAAAATCACGTCATACAGTTATATAAAGAAATTATCTAATTAAAACAAGTAAATTACATATTCGATTATTTCAAATCAGTATGTGATTTTTTAAAATTACATAATTTGAAAAGTCAAATGACATGTTCTTTTTCTTCTATTTCTATTATTCAATAGAATATTGTTCTTTAAATTTTAAACTTGAATTTCGATATAGATTCCAACGAATAAATTCAAATAAATTGTAATAACAAGGCTAAGGAGCCAGTTATTAGCTTACAAGCCAGTTGTTAATGCTTACATGTGTATTTACAAAAGTTTTTTCAAACCACGTGATTTAAAAAATCACGTACTGATTTGGAACTATCTGTTACATCATTTATTTGTCTTAATTACACGATTTTGTTATATAACTTTATGACATGATTCTTTCCAGTAGAGCCACCTCTCGTACTTATGCCCGTGACGCGCACGCAAGTACATACATACCGGCGTTAAATTATAGGTTTACGGAACCTATAATTTAATGCCGGTCCCGGCATTAAATTATAGGAACGGCAGTTTGAGAGGTTTTTTTGGTAATAAGTACTCTTGGTTTGAAAAACCACTAAAGAGGAGTTAGGGACGCATGAAAATTTTTTGGATTTTGGGATTGAATACAAGCTCTCAAGCGTTATCCGCCATACTATGCTCGTATTACATAAATATAATTTTTATATTTTCTGCTATACGATGTATTATTTAATTGTAATATACAAATTTGATACATTCACACACAATCGTAAAAAATACATTCTTTACATTATGTATTTTGTTTGTTGTTATGAACACATACTCAAATAAATAAAATTTATATAACATTATTCAAAAATGTCTGATCATTATCATTGCAATATACACACCGTAGATTTCGAGGTGGGAAAATGGGGATGGAACGCAATTGGGAATTGTTTTTTAGTAGGAAATCTTTTTACGACTTTGTGTATTGAATTTACATCTACTGTGTCACCAATTTCAGCGATGATGATGGGCTTATGAAAATCTTGATCCGTTCTTGTTAATCGAACACCTAAAACTTGAGCTGCCAAACCTGCTATGCATAAAGATACCTGAAAGTACAATAAAAGCCCATATTGATATTAATAACATATTAATAAAAAATATATATAGTGATTTAAAAAAAATCGTACAAGAAAAATATCTTTTAAAAAATCTTATTTGTGTAAAAATAGACATTAATTAGCAATTTATTAATAAAGAATAAAACAGACTACGTATTTCTTAAATTTATTTTATCCCTTAAGGCGATGCTAAAGCTTCCTGTTTTACCCACATTTCCATTCGGTGAAAAATTTCCGTATTGAATGTACGGATTGCAAAAGTATTATTATATAAATTAAAGTACGCACAAACAGGACCTCAGCTGCACTGGACATTTCATGAGAAAATCGAAAAAAAGTTTAAAATTTGTTAAAAATTCACTTACTTTTGGCTCATACAGTTGTCACTTTAGATATATATTTGCTTGATATAAGAGTTTTATAGCGTTTTCGATTGAGGTACACTGGCTGCACTCAGTGTCAAGAACGTGTTCGATTGGCAGTGCCAATGCGCACTTGGCTAGTGTCACGTGTTCATTTGACCGTACGACACTCACGTAGTGCGTACTAGGGATGTGCGATCTCGATCCGATCTTTTTGTAAAAAAAGATCGATCTTTTAATCGATTCGCCAATATCCGATTTTAAGGTAGATCGATTTATTTAGTAAGAGATCGATCATTCTTCGAAGCGTAGGAGCGGATTCGGAAATTCAAGATATATTTTGATATCATTTCATTCCTGTTGTTCACTGAATGTTGAACAAGGATAAAATAATATCTATATACACTCAGGTGGTGTTTCTTATAGCGTTTTCGATTGGCCAAAAGTTAGTGCGCACCAGTGCGCACTCAGTTCACACCAACACTGGACGAGTTCCATGG